TCTTATGGTGTTCAGCACAATTGGCACAAAAAGAGTATATTTTGGGAATTGCCATATTGGAAAGATCTTCTTTTGCGCCACAACCTCGATGTGATGCATATAGAGAAGAACTTTTTTGAGAACATCATGAACACTATATTGAATGTCCCAGGGAAGACGAAAGACAACATAAAATCAAGGTTGGACTTACCCGATATCTCCTCAAGGAGTGAGCTACATATAAAAAGCAATGGGCAAGTTCCAGTTCCAATATTCAGACTGTCATCAGAAAAAAAGTCTGCATTGTTCAACTGGGTGGCTTCAGAAGTGAAGTTCCCTGATGGGTATGTTTCAAATCTCTCAAGATGTGTTGAGAAAGGGAAAAAGTTCTCCGGGATGAAGAGATATGATTGTCATGTCTTTATGCAGCGACTACTTCCCTTTGCGTTTGCGGAGCTACTGCCGGAAAAAGTACATGAAGCACTTTCAGGTAATTAATTAATTAATATAATACGATGACATGATTAATTTATTTATATATATACTAATGTGGATAATTTTTGTTTTCGTGTATATATAAGGAATTGTAGCATTTTTTAGGGATCTGAGCTCCCGCACTCTTAAAGTGGAAGTTGTCCAATAACTTCATGAAAACATCACCGTCTTAATCTGCAACTTGGAGAAAATATTCCCGCCAACCTTTTTCGACGTCATGGAACACCTAGTTGTCCACCTCCCGTATGAGGCATTACTTCATGGACCCGTGCATTATGGATGGATGTATCCGTATGAAAGGGCCATGAAAACTTTGAAAGGAAAAGCGAAAAACCTAGCAAGAGTTGAAGGTTCTATTGTTGCGGGAAGTTTGACGGAAGAAACATCACATTTCACTTCGTACTACTTTGCACCAAAAGTACGTACAAGGAAACGAGCTCCAAGAAGATATGATGATGGTGGTGTCGTGCCGACATATATGGAAGACGATGTTCCAGACATCTTTTGTCAAATTGGGCGATTGGGTGGGAAATTGAAAGAGGTTTGGTGGTCGAGTGATGAAGACGTTCATAGTGCACACCTTTATATTCTTCTTAATTGCGAGCATCCATTGATTGCTTATTTTGAAAGGTAAATATATAAACATACACACTTATACATACATATATATATATATATATATATTTCAGTATTAAATATATAACATAACATATATGATTTTACAGTCAATTTGAGACTCAAGTCGAGGAAGCAATACCTGGTATATCGACAACTGAGTTAGAGAAAATGAAAGATCAACACTTTATCAAGTGGTTGAGGAAACATGTATTTATTTATTACTTAAATTGTATGCATACATTACCACAAATTAAGTAAGTCTAATGTATTTTATTTTTTATTGCAGGTTGATTATGACGATCCTAAGTATCCCGCATGGTTTCGCGAATTACTTCAAGGTTCAGTTGCAAAGGTCCTTACATCGGCGATGTATTTCACCCGAGGCTATACTTTCCATACCTACGACTATGGTAGCCACCGGGCGACAAGTAATTATGGAATATGTGTGAAAGGCGAAACAGATTTCTACGGGATCTTGCAGGAGATTTATGAAGTTCAATTCCCGGGAATGGGTTTGAAATGCGTTATCTTAAAGTGTGAGTGGTACGACCCCGTCGTAAACAGAGGTGTTCGGATTAACAAGAACGGTGTAGTTGATGTCAACGGTGGACGAAGGTACACCAAATTCTTTTTTTTTTTTTAATATCAAGGTTTTCAATATTACTTACTTTTAACGTATTGATCTTTATTTTCGTAGGTACAACAAGTTCGAGCCTTTCATATTAGCTTCCCAAGCAGATCAAGTTTTCTTCATTCCATACCCTCGGATTACTACCTCGGGAATAAACTGGTTAGCTGTTATCAAAGTTACACCTCGAAGAAGAATAATCACTAGAGAAGAACCACCATTACAAGAAGAAAACACCAATGAGATCGAGGAATCTGAAGCAGAAATTGATGACATCCTACTCATTGATCCGCATAATCGCCAATACGAAGATGTCCCTGATCACTCAACGGACGAAGGTGTAGACGACGAGTTTTTAGAAAATGATAATTTTTCAACAAATTACGACAATGTATCCGAATGAATTATGTATGTGTTATAAGTTTGTTTAATCATAAAATCAATTTGGATTATATATGTTTTAATTTTGTTTAATCACAAAATCAATTTACATTTGGGGTTTGGGGTTTATGTGTAGAAGAGGTTAGGAGTTTGGTTGTAGAAGAGGTTATAAGTTAAGGAAGTTGTGGTTTGGGGTTTGGGGTTTCGAGTTTAGGAATTGATAAACCCTTTCCTCGTAAAGCCGTAGTAATAGAAAACACGGGCATATCAATTTCCTCGTAATGTTCTAGTAAGGCCTTACTAGGGCTTTACGAGGAAAAAAAACACGGGCATAGCTATT